GCATTCCGAGATTCAATAATAATATTTACATGCATTTTAGAATGCTCTGCCTTATGAATCAAGAACCGATATGCACTACTATTCTTGGCATAACCAATGAAAATGCAATCAACAGTTTTAGGATCTATCTTAGTCTTTTTAGGACTAGGAATAGCCACTTTAGCCAAACACCTCCACACTTTTAAGTATTTGTAGGATGGTATTCTTTCATGCCACAATTCATAAGGTGTTTGATTCACTTTCCTTTGGAGTACTTTATTAAGTATATAATTAGCAAAAAGTATTGCTTCCCCCCACAAGTTTTGAGATAATCCAGAATTCATTAACATGGCATCCATCATATCTTTTAAAGTCCTATTTTTCCTTTCAGCAATTCCATTTTGTTGAGGTGAGTAAGAAGCGGTGGTTTGATGAATTATTCCATGTTCTTTACAAAACTCACCAAAAGGTGATTCATATTCACTACCTCTATCATTTCTAAGTTTCTTAATTTTCTTACCAAGTTGATTTTTAACTTCATTCTCATATTGAATGAAAGTTTCCAAAGCTTCATCCTTGGCTCGAATTAAACAAACATAACTATATCTAGTATAGTCATCTATGAAAGTGATAAAATATTTATTCCTACCTCTAGTTTGAATTGATTTAAAATCACAAATGTCACTATGAATTAATTCAAGTGGTTCCGTACTTCTTTCAATTGAATGAAAAAGAGTTTTGGATAATTTAGCCTTAACACAAATTTCACATTTATGATTTAAATCAATGTCAAATTTACATAAACATTCCATATTAATTAATCTACGCAAAGATCCATAATTAACATGTCCAAGTTTACCATGCCATAAATTTGAAGACTCAAGCAAGTAAGAAGAAGATGTATTTTTATTAGTAACAGAGGGTACAACAGTCATTATATTCATTTTGAAAAGGCTATCAGACATGTAACATTTGTCTACATACATCCCGTTTTTGGTAAGTACAAACTTGTCACTTTCTAAAACAAGCCTAAGCCCATTTTTACTCAACAAAGATCCGGAAACAAGATTCTTGCGAATGTCCAATACGTTTAGCACATTGTTGAGAGTGAGTTCCATTCCAGATGTCATCTTCAAAATAATTTTTCCTTATCCTTCAACTTTAGAAGTCGAAGAGTTGCCCATAAAGAGTTGTTCACTATTGTCCACCACTGAATAAGATGTGAACATCTTTTTGTTGGCACAGATGTAGCGAATAGCACCAGTGTCCACCCGTCATTCTTTAGGATTTTCGACAAGGTTTTCCTCGGAAACAACTGTAGAAAGATTTATATCATCGATACTATTGGAAATTTTATTCACTTCGGTCATATTGGCTTGAGCAAGCTTCTTACCTGATCTTCTTTTGCCTTTGCATTTGCAACGGCAATCTTTGGCCCAATATCTCTCTTTGTTACAAATGTAACACATGCCATTAAACTTGTACTTCTTTGTTTCCCCTCCTTTAGATAACATTTTCTTCTGTCATCTTTTAAAAATAGTTCCTAAGAACTTCTCTGGTTTTTTACCATGATTGACTGGTATAATCACAACAAGAGGGGTTTGAACAATTGCAGCCACCACACTAGTACTTGTTTGAGCATTAGTTTGACCAGTTTCAATAACCATGAATTCTAAATTATAAAACAAAATTATAACTATAATTTTATAGTACACAGAAAATTTGAACCAAAACCACATAATTAAATTCTGTAAAATAAAAGAAACAAGAATTATAACTTTTATTTTCAATTAATTTGAAAAAAAAAATTATTTAACCAAATTAATTCCACACAGAAAATTAAATTTATGTAACACTTCAATAATTAAAATATTGAAACAGAATTTTAATTAACGAACACCCAAAAATAATTTCTGAAAACCAAAATTAATTTCTGACAAAATTCCACAAATAAATATTCTGAATTGTTAATGATACCAGTATATTACTACTAGTTGTCAAAGAAAATAGGCAGTATATTACTACTATTTGTTTTCCAACCAGAATATTATATTGTAAAATCACAGAAAATAGTTTCTGTAAGAAGAAGAAAGAGAAAGGGAAATAAACGAAAAATTCTGTAAATAGAATAATTCGAATCTGTCTTAAGATTGTTGGAACAATCTTCTGTGTACAATAAATAAATTGAAACTAAATCAAACAAATAAAATAAATAACATACCGAATTTATTTTACCGAACGGAATGAATAATAAAATGATCAAGTTGAGTGTTTGACACTCTGTTCTTAAGACAGATTCGCCCCGTTACGGTGCTTACGGACAAGTGGCGTCTATCTCTCAGGATACAATGATCTTCACAAATTGTAGTAGCACTCCAAACAACTTGTACGGCGAACAAAACCTAGTGTTCTATATTCTCTTTAATTTTCCTATAAATAATATGAAAAGAATTTATACAAATGAACAAAATCGGACAGCAAAATGATGATTTTCGGATCTGGAAAAATCTGTTGGAATGTCTAAGAATTTATAAGACTGAACAGGTTTAATTATTCAAACTGAACAGGTGGAATTTGAATCCAACAAGTGCAGAACAATATAAATAGATAACTGCTAGCCAGTTTATATCTGTTGGAAAAATTACTGGAAGATTTGAATCTGTCTGGCAGTTTTAAATCTGTTCGGGTTCCAACAGATCTGAAAACTGTTTGGGCTGTTTAACCTGTTTGGAAAAATTGGACTAGAAGAGGAAACATTGAACAGGAAATTAAATTCAAGTTTGAATTAATTTCGTTAAGAATTTTTGAAAAAAATTCAAATAAATTTCCTCCAAAACTTAATATTAGAACTGACCCGACCTACAACCGCGCACGGCACAGCCGAACGGACGGCGCTCACGTGTGTGGTGGTTTGGGCTAAGGTTCACTTTGTCCATAACTCCTCCATTCTACAAACTTGGGGTACCCCATGGGGCCCAACCCAAGTTAGTACACCAAGAGCTTATATATTCACAAAAGCTCTCTTAAAGTTTCAATGTAGGACAACGCATTTCAAGGAAATCCACATTTAATTCTTTAAGTGTCTATTCTACGAACCCAAAAACAACGTCAAGTTCCATTCACTCATAAATGGTTTTGACGAACTGTCTTCACCGTGTGACTTGCCACGCGGCAAGGAACACGTCACCTCTTCAGACCCACCTCAAAAGACATGTGGACCCCTCTTAATTTTGGATTCAAAGTTGGCCCAAAATAAGCCTATAAAAAACCAATTATTTCCAATAGAAACAACTATAAATAATGAAATGTTTTCTTTGTGATGAATTGCTACTTGAATTGCCACAATCTCGGCCCTGTTTGGTGTAATTCATTGGGGTTGGTTATAGTTTTTTTTTTTTTTTTTTGTGGACCGGGGAATTTTCAAGGTCTGGGAAACCCGATTCCCGTTAGGGGGTGGGGGCGGGGACGGTGATAGGTTCCCTGTCGGGGATTGGGGCCAAGAACGGGGGAATTTTCACCATCGAGGATTTCAGACGGGGAGTGTGATCCTTGGCCCCACCCCGGCCCATTGCCATTCCTACATATAGCTGGTGATTATCGTGCCTTTTTCCTAGGTAAACTTAAAAAGAAATGGGAATTTACATATAAGTCTTAATATATAGACTTATTGTTCAATAGAGTATATGATAATTAATGGCATTTTTCATCAAACACTATTAAAAAACATCACTAATTGTTAATTTTCAGTGACCGTTTAAAAATTGTCAAAAAAAATGTCACTAATTATAAGTTTTAGCAATAGTTTAAAAAAATCGTCACAAAAAAAGTCACTAATTTTCAACTTTCAACTACAATTAAAACAATTTGTCACAAAAAAGTTATTATAAATTTTTGCTACAATTTATAAAGGGATATTTACACACAAGTCCTAATTTATGAACTTATACTCCATTAAATCATAACTAAGATTATTTGGACATTCAAGTCCCATTAAATTTTTAATGGTCAGAATTGCCCTTCAAACAATGATTATTCATCATTTATGATTATCTATAAAGGAACATGATGATTTGACAATTATTTTGATTTTCGAAACATTAAAATATCAAATTTCAAATTGCAAAAACTAAAAATACATATATATATACACATATGTTTTTCAAAAAATTGAATTATTTTTTTGTGCAAAATTGAAAAAAAAAATTGAAAAAACTAATAAAATTCTCAGTTTTAAAACTGGAAAAAGCTGATAATGTTCTCAGTATTATTGGATAACTGAATCAAACCAATATGTAGAAGGGTAAAAACGTTTAATCTCATGCTCTATTTTATTTTATTTTTCATTAGTAGTTAGTGAAACAATTATTTGAAATATTATTATGCAAAATTGATAATTTTTTTAGTTTTAAAAATTAGAAAAAACTGATAATATTCTCAATTTTACTAAATCGGATTAATTAGTTCCAAAAATCTTAAATAGAACCGTAGCTACCATAACATTTGTAAATATGACTTTTAAGTAATTAATTCATTTATAAAAATCATGACAAAAAAGTCACTTATTGCCAATATTTAGTGACATGTAAAAAATCGTCACAAAAAATTATTTTTAGCGACGATTTTATTATAACTTATTTTTAATAGAATTTGATAGAAATTAAGTCCAACTATTATAAACTATTGATAGTTCACCTTAAAAGGAAAATAGAGAATGAAGGTTTTACTGTTGGTCCACTCTTATTAAGATTGAAGGAGAGATTTACAGAAGTAAACAAAAATATATGAGGAAAACAATAAAATATAAACTAAATTTGTGCCATTTTTTTCCTTATAAATCACTCCTCAAATTCTAAATCTAACTACAACCTTAAAGTCCGAGTCAGTGACTTCAAGGAGTTTTTTTAATATTGATTCAATCTTAATGTTGGACTCCTTAATTATGAAAATTATAGGCCTTAACCCAAATGTTAATTTGTTGTCTTGTGAATTTATTTATTTATTCTTTAATTCTACTGGTGCAGAAAGAACTCCGCTCCGCTATACTCTGTAAGATCTTCTTGGTTTCATTGATTGGGTACGTGCAAGGTTAATACAGAAATATTTTGATTAAATTATACTTTGTCATTTTTATGATTGGTTATTTTTTTAATTTGGTCCTTAAATTTTTTTTCTTTATTTTAGCTAGGGGTGCAACTTGGGCGGGTTTAGCCCGAGCAACACGAGCCCAGCCCGAATTTTTTTAGGATTTGGACAAAATATTTTCAAATTTGGTACAAGCTTGGGCAAAAATTCAGAAGCCCGAATTATATATATAGATATATAAAAATATTAAATATACACATAAATTATTAACCATTACATGATATTAAAGTAATTTATATTATTAAATCATTTTGAATATATATTATATATGCAAATAACATAAAATCTTTTTTTTTTCTTTTTATTTTCACTCATAAATTGTAAGGACTATTATAATGGCATCTCTGTTACATTATATAAATTATTTGTTTTGATGGTATTAATGATTTTTTATTAAAAAAAATTGTAAATAGAGTCAAATTTTAAGAATTTAATAATGTAGCTGCAAAAAAAAAAATTTAAAATTCATTTATAATTCGGGCAACTTGGACAATTCGAGTTTCACTCGGGTCGGGCTTGGACAGACAACCTCGGGGTTACAATTCGGACTTGGGCGGATTTGGGCAGGTCTCAGCACAACTTGGGCTGCGCTTGGACAACCTCTCAATCCGACCGAACCCGCTCAAGTTGCACCCTGAATTTTAGCCCTTTATATTTAAAGTTTTTTTTTCTTTTCAATTTATATTCCTAAAACAAATTTGTGTTCAAAAATAGATATAAAATACCACGTTAGCCCTACATAAACCCAAACTTTAATATAATAATATATTTTTGGGAGATTTACGTGTAGTATAAATAGATTTATTATCTAATAGGTCATGTAAGAATTATTGGTATTTTTTATCAAACACTATTAAAAAATGTCATTAATTATTAATTTTAGCGACAGTTTTAAAAAATCGTCACAAAAAAGGTCACTAAATTTCAATTTTCAGCGACAATTTGAAAATTTTGTCACAGAAAAATGTCATTAATTGTAAGTTTTAACGACAATTTATAAAAATCGTGACAAAAAAAAAGTTACTAATTATTAACTTTTAGCAACATATGTAAAAAATTATCACAAAAAATTATTTTTACTTATTAGGACTTATTTTCAATAAGACTTCATGGGAATTAAGTCTAGCTATTAGAACCTATTGGTAGTTTACCCTATATTTCTATGTCACATGTCAAGTAACGTGGTATTTTATGTTTAATTTTGAATAGAAATTAGTTTTAAAAATAATTTGGAAAAAACTTGAAACATGAAGAGTCAAAGTGGGAAAAAAAACTTCAAAAGCCGAAGTGAGAAAATAACCAAACATAAAAAAGGCAAAGTTTAATTTACCTAAATAATTTTAATATTTTAAAATAAAAAATGTTCTTTACCAAATAAACTTGTTTTCTATTGGTTAGGAAAAATATTTTTCATTCATTTTCATTTTTCTGTCTTAAAAAAAATACTGTTTATTAAAACAAAGGATAACATGTCAAAGAATGTTGGATCCAAACGTGAAATTAATTTACTCTTTAATCTAATCATCCATGTTAATTATATGAAAAATTCTAAACGTACATAAAATTATATAGGATTTATTTTATTTTATTTTTATAGTATTACTCTAATTATATTTAATGTTTTCAGGATTACACTGTGCATAAATCTCTTGAATGTTTCATTTTGTTACGTCCCAGCAACATTTGCTTCTGCCACTACTAACACAATTCCTGCTATTACCTTTATCATCGCCATTCTTTTAAGGTACATCAAGAAATAAAATCCTAAATAAATTATATTTTTTATTCTGTAATCTAATCCAAATTTTACTTTTAGTCTTATTGTTTTAATTTGAACCATGTTAATTACTTGTACTCCCATGTGACTCGTTTATGTCAAAAAAATTGTGATTTTTATTTCCATTTTGAACATAAAGGACAAATTTAAACTTTAGGAACCAAATTGAATTTTGAAGCAAAATACAGTGTGAAAAGTATAATTTACACTAAACAAATAAAGAGTGATTTAGCGCACAAGCTCTTGGCACTTACTAAAGTCGATGTGATTCTCTCCTTTACATGTATAGAATGGAGATATATCTATTTCGTGATCAATAGTTGTAAAAGAGCTACATCAACATATTTTTATTTTAAATTCAAAAGCAGTTAAGGGAGATTTAAAATTCAAATTGATGTAACAATATTTTGGATTTTAATGACATATTGCAACTTTATGCATGAAATGAAAGTCTCAATTCCAATCATGTAATTGATAGAATATAAATCATGCTAAACCAAGGTCTGGAAAGATAAGATGTGTACACAATCTTATTATTATTACTAAAGAAATTGATTTCACGATTCAATCTTGTATTATCAGGACGCTAATAATAAATCTTATCGTTATTTCTAAAGGAATTATCTTCATAAGTACTACCAAGAAGCTAACGACAAACCTAGTGGTTGGTATTTTTTTTAGGATGGAAAGCGTTGCCATAACTGAATGGAGTGGAGTGGCAAAGGTATTGGGTACAATGCTATGTGTTGGTGGGGCTGCGGTGTATTCTTTTGTGAAGGGGCCTCTTGTGTATCCACAGGCTGCCCAAGATCAAAATTCACACTCATATACAGGGTGTGGCACCAAAGCACAGTGCCTAAAAGGCTCTCTTTTTCCCCTCTCTGCCCAGGCTCTTTGCTCTTTGTGGCTTATTATGCATGTTCTCTCTCTCTCTCTCTCTCTCTCTCTCTCTCTCTCTCTGCCCAGGCTACTTGGTCTTTGTGGCTTATTATGCAGGTTCTCCCTTTCTCTCATGAATCAGTTTTGCTACAAATATAAAAATTATTAAACATAGAAAATATATGAACAAAAAAGATTTTATTAAATTTCTCCATCTGTATACATTTTTTGTCTAATCCTCTGATCAATTTTTGTATTCTTCTTGATCAATTTTGTAACGAGCACAAAAATTAGATACAAAATACACATGGATAGATAAAATTTTATAGAATTTATTGGTGAGATTTGAAAAATCTTGGCCATTTCTATACATTCTATTAGGGGTGCTAGCGGATCCGATTTGTGTAGTTTGCGGTTCGGTTTTGATCCGTCCGCACCTATGCAGTTTGGGAAAAAGTCAAATCACAACCGCTCGCAGTGCGGTTTGTGCAGATAGGGTTTGCGAATGTGCAGATGATTTGCGGTTTGAATTTTTTCCTTTAAAATTTAATTTTTGAGTTTTTTTTCCCATTTTGTAAATATTTATTTTGGGTTATTTCCTTCCAATTTTCTAAAATGCTTCAACATTAATAATTGATGAATTAAAACTTATAAAATTAAAAACACAACAAAATCAATTCCTAACACAAACAAATCATTTAAAATCCTAAAATCATTGAAAATTAATCTAGTACCCAACAATACAATTAAAGTAAAATCATCCACAATCCTAAGCTAAATCATCAATCTCATTCTCCAACTACTTTGTTAACATTCTCCATCTACTATTACTACCCAATAATACAAAATTAAAATAAAATCATTCCAAATCCTAAACTTACCTAAAAGTAATTTTTCATTAACTATTACATTCATCCAAAATGCAATAAAAAAAATTAAAATTGTTGTCAAAAAAATAAAAACATTTGCAACACAATATCTCAAACTTCATCATCATGAATCACATCTAAGTTCCAAAAATTTTAATTCTATGCATTTGGTTGATGAACTCTGCACAAAAACAAACTAAAAAATAAAAATTTTAATCTTCAATCTTCATAATTCCTTTGACAAAAAAAAGTGTAAAAGAATAAAGTAATAAGAAAATGTGTTGAGTATATGAAAAATTTACCAATGAGCAAATGGATTAGAGTTCAATTATAGTATTAGCATCAACATTATAGGTTGAACTTAAAGATGAACTTGACTCCAAAGTACCTAATTAAGAATCAACAAAAGAAGATCAATAAAACTTATATTAGAAAATGAACAATACAAATAAAAATAAAGATAAATAAATTCTCATATTACCCGAGTCACATTGCTCAAATTCTTCTACATCATCCATCGCATTTCGAAGAGAAATTGGAAGGTTGCTTCGAAGCCAATTTTGAGCACATACAAAAGCTTCAACCATAGAATGCGAGAGTAAACTACGAAATGGGTCAAGAATACGCCCCCTCGTACTAAAAGCCGACTCCGACACAACGGTAGAAGTAGGCATGGCCAATACATCCTTTGCAAGTTGCGATAGCACTCTACATTTAGTTGCATTCACCTTCCAATAATCTAAAATCTCAAATGTTTGATTCTTCGCAAAATGTTCAACCTCAGACAAATATTGCTCCAATTCCAACTTAGATCCACTAGTACATCGCCTCTCCAAATAGGAATTCAATTGGGAGTCAACCAAAGAATAAGGATCATCATCATCATCATTTTCCACCATATTCACAACTTCACTCACACTTGGAAGTTTCTCATTTGAAGGATAAAGTGTGACATAATGACTATAAAAACAACTCAAACAACCCTTAACCTTGTTTACCATATTTTCCACCTTCTTATTATCTCCAAGAAATAAATTTGAAAAGCAAAATTCCAAGTATATCATCTTTTTGGTAGGATCAAGAACAACTGCAACATACAATAACAAATTGATCTTACTTCTATCCCCCCCAATACTTGCTGAACTTTTGTTTCATAGTCTTTGCCATTGTGCTCAAAGTATCATCCTCCTCCAAAATTAATTGGTTAATTTTGCTTTCAATAACAAACATTTCTTTGTAAAAAGCATTGGAAGTAACAAAGAAAGACCTCGAAAACTTCTTAGTTACAAGATAAAATAATTTTAGAAACCTCAAAAACAATCTACATTTTTTCCAATCCAACTCATTAGGACTTCTCCTTATGCCACTATCAACATCCTTGAAATAAGGTTCAAAATTAGAATCCACAAACTTCAATCGGTTAAAATCCTTTTCATACTTTTCGGCTGCCTCCAACATCAAATAGGTAGAGTTCCACCTAGTTGGTACATCTTGGCATACAAGAGCTTTTGAATCAAGTTTGAGTGTGGCTGCACACTTCTTAAAAGCATCTGCCTATGAGGAGAAGACCTCACATATCTCACCGCAAGTCTAATGTTGGCAATAGAATCATCCATTTCTTTCAACCCATCACTCACAACGTGATTAAGCATATGTGCACAACAATGCATGTGAATAAACTCATGTTGAAAAATAGTTTCCTTCCAATCTTTGTTTATTGTTTTCAAATATTGAATGGTAAGATTATTAGAACTAGCATTATCAACTTTTAAGGTGGATATGCTATCAATGTTCCACTCAATCAAACACGACTCAATTTTCCTACCCAATGTTTCTCCTTTGTGATCTTCAAGTTGTTGAAAATTTATGATTCTTTTTTTAAGTTTCCAGTTATCATCAATGAAATGAGCAGTTAAACACATGTAACACAAATTCTGAATAGATGTCCAAGTGTCCGTAGTAAAACAAATTCTACGACCCTTCATGGCCTTCTTTAACTTATCCCTTTCATTCTTGAATATATTGAGCACTTCTCTAAATATGGTTTGATGAGAAGGAATTGGTGTGAATTTGGGTTGCATGACATTACAAAATCTTCTAAACCCAACACCCTCCACAAATCTAAATGGCAACTCATCAATGACCACCATCTCCGCAAGAGCCCTTTTACAAGTATCAAAATTAAAAATTGTTGCTACAACCTCAACACCCTCTTCATTTTGCTTCGGTTTAAGATTTAGTGTTTGTTGACCATCTGTATCCCTATTTGGATATTCTTTACAATTGGGTGTATGACTCCTCAAATTACTAGTCCCATGAGTTCTAGAGTCAGCCATATACTCTTTCTTACAATATTTACATACGTTGGTTGGCAATCACACGGTCCCTACAACCTTGTCAAAATGATCCCAAACTGTGGAT